GTCATCAAAATCTGCGAACCCTGTGGCGGTTACCGGATCTTGTATTTAGCGAAAGGAAGAATTTCCATTTCATGGGGAACGATAGACTACGGTACCTGTTGTTAGGATACCGTAGTGACCCACATCAGTTGCTGTTTCAATTCACGTTGAAACTGAATCATATAGAATGGATCATCCTCACAAAACCTGGGAAAGATAGGGTAGTCCCTGTACCGTACATACTGATAGGCCTGCAGACAGTAGTGGGACTCAGCCGGTTCGCACCGGTTCTATAGAACCTTCTCACGGAATTTTATGAGATCAGCGAACCGGTTAGCATTACTGGTTACTGTCAAACGGAACCAGCTAAAAAATATGACTTTTGTGAAGGAACCGGCTGATAAAAATTTTAAACTTACCATTGCCTATAGGTACTGGGAGTTATCTCATATGATTTCGGGGAATTGATGATAAAATATTTCGTTTTGCCCTCCGTGTCCACATATTTGAGTATAGCTTTGTTGTATTACTGGATGGATTCTCGTTTTACACAAACAAGCTTGATCCTGTTTCAGTGGCTTTCGGCAAACTACATGAAGGCGAATATTGGGAAATTGACGACAGCGAACTCATGCCAATTCCAAACCTAGGCAAAGTTTGGAGATTTGTTAAAATACAACCAAGTACACCAAGTGTACAAAATAATTTTAACAGATAATTAGGTGGGTTAATAAGAATGCAGAATTTGTGTATGATAATTTGTTCCTGTGTCGCGGACCATGGCGTCCGCGTTTATATCGTGTGTATATATATTTTTATGTTTAAAGACAGTTATGTTGACCCTTGTTTAATGCCGTTTTGTCGGATTTTGACTCCGACCACTCACTACACGTGAGAAAAAAAATGTGTCATTTGCTCTCTTTCTCCGGCCGTCGGGCTGGTGGCCGGATGTGTTTTGTAATATCTTCTGTTTTTGCTGTGTTATATGTTTTAATTGTGGAGTTGCCGTACAATAAACAACCAATCCGGAACCCTTGAGTCTTCTGATTTATCTACACACAGTAGCAACATATTTCTACCGTGACACATGTTGATTCTGGCAAGATTTACAAGGACGTGTGCGAATGAGGAAAAACCCTTTGTCCAACCGAAGGCCCAAATATATGTGAGATATGAAGTGGCGTTCTGGGTTGGGAGTTGAGACAGGAAATAGTGAGAAAAATCTATGAGATAAGAAACTTGATGAAAGGTTTTAACAAATGACATGATCTCTTCAAATGTAATTGCAACAATGCAGCTGCTGAGGGTAGATGAGCCAAAGTATTTCACGACACACAATGTATGAAAAAAACTATGCTGGTGTCACATATTCATATGGCGAACAACGGTCTCTTGCCGGTTACCATTCCATGTCAAGTATGGGATTAGTTAGCCAGTCATTTGTTTTTGACAGCATGGACTTAATCGAGGAGAAAGCCGTAACTGACCTAATACCCAATTTTTAAAGTTTAAAGAGACGTCAGCTGCGGTCTTCTGAATAAGAACGGGTTCTCTGATCATTTTGGGATCTAAAAACGGGATCGCACAAACCCCCAAAACATTTCCTTATGGACTTCGTGTCCATATATTTGAGCATAGATCTCTTGTTAGTTATAAAGAGCAAAATATATGCAGCATTAACAATATACTTCGTGAAGAGGCTGATGGACACATGTATAATATAGTTATGAATATAGAGTTAACAAAGTTCGTAAATTTTGTTGTTTTGCATGTCTATTCGTACATGTAGTCCTATTTAGCAGACGCTAAACCTAAATTTAACATTGAATTGTATTCCAATGGGAATCTCATTGGATGAGATGGGCATAATTGCTATAGGAATGGGACAGAAAAATATGGGTGCTCCCAAAGTATGCGAACCAAGATGGCGGACATCGGAATGTAATATGTGTACTAGGTTAGGGTTAGGCCATAATATCTTTCCAATTTTCCCTATTTTAGTCCTATTATCAGTTCGAAGACTAGCCAAGAGCCTCTCGTAGTATTTATACCTAAAATTATGGCCTAACCCTAACCTAGTACACATATTACATTCCGATGTCCGCCATCTTGGTTCGCATACTTCGGGAGCCCCAAAATATGTCCCATGGACAAGCCTGCTGATATATACCCCCATAAGTGCGATTGCCGGCCAAGATATTAGGCCCAACTATCAAAAAATAAATACGCAGACGTTGAAACATAAAAAAAATTAGGAAATAAAAATGCATATAAATGTAGAAATACTGTAGAATAAATAAATAAAATAGCATAAGACTCATTCCCGGTTGAAAATTGAGACATGAACCTCAAAATATGACGTCATATTCTGATGACGTGATTGATTTTAGAAATTAAATCTTTTCATTTTGGTCAAAGGTCTATTCGAGTGAGACGATCAAATAGTTTATTATTTTCATACAAAAAAGTGTGCAACACGAAACGAATTCTTCTCATTTAATCTTGGGGCACTCCTGAAGTATTCGTACCAAGATGGCGGACACCGGAACGTAGTATGTGTACCAGGTTAAGGTTAGGCCATAATATTATTCCAATTTTAGTTCTATTACGAATTCGGGGACTAGCCAAGTGACTCCCGTAGAATTTGTACCTGAAATGATGGCCTAATCTTAACCGGGTACACATACTACGTTATGGTGTCCATCATCTTGGATCAAGGGGGATAAACAAGGGGGGCGTAGCCAGGGGGTGGTTTTGGGGTCGGAACATCCCACCCCCCCCCCCCTCCTTCGAAATAGGAAAGAACATAAGGGCATCTTTATGTATAATACATAGCAATTTTTCGATTTAAATGCTTCTTAGACCCTCAAGACTAATGAAAACACACGTATTCCGGCGTGTTTTGATCTAACTTGGCAAATATAAATTTCAGTCTCCCCTACTCCTTTGGCTACGCCCCTGCATGAATACCTTTATATTGAAATCGTGAAAAAAATTTGTGTCAGACAAAATCAGATTTTATTTAAAATTGGAGAAGAGCAATGGAAAAACTATTCAAATAAATAAAGAAAATGAAAACTGCATTTACAAATGAAGAATCCCAATTCGAGAGAGATGAAGGAGAAGAAAAATAAGTAAAAAACAAATAACGATTTATCAAGCTATGCCTTCGGCTATTATTGACTAGCCTTTTCGGAACTGGTATATCAAACTAAAGTCCGTGTTAAGCCGAGCCGAGTTTACACTCTGAACAGGTCAATGACGTCACTGTCATTAGTTATCAAATTACAAGCGCACAAAGTTGAAGAACCATGTCTTCTGCGGTACAATCGTTATATTAAATAGTCGGCGCTACGGAAGTATTCGTACCAAGATGACGCACAACCTGAACGGCCCCGACCTGATACACATACTATGTTCAGGTTGTGCGCCATCTTGGTACAAATACTTAGGGAGCATCAGATAGTCTACACTCTACAGCATAGGTTCTCAAAGTGCTCCGTACGGAGCCCCAGGGCTCCGCGAGGGAAACCTAGGGGCTCCGTGAGCTATCCGATTACTTTTTAAAATAATGACTAGTTTTGTAACTGTTCAAAGAAACAATAACAGCTTTGATAAAATTTGACAACATTATAGCCTCGAAATATGGCAAAGAGGCGGAATCGAAAAATGACATTATTTATAAGCTGGAGCGCAGCCAGGATTCTCAAGAGGTGGGGATTTGAATCGGAAATTTCCGCGCAACATTCTTTGCGATTATAAAAAACGGATAACGAGATTTCTGTTGCGTAAAATATTCAATGTATGGCCGATGCGAGCATTTAAAGTGTCTCGTCGTAATAATTCAATTGTACTCATAGTTACTCAAGTTTCATTCGAGATTACTATTAGGATTACTAAAATGAAGGAATACTATTCTAAAATAACATAAAATACGTGATAAACTGCCACCTGTGAATAAATTGGAGTCGTATTTTTGCGATCTTGGAATTTGTCAAACTTGATTTGTTCTTTTGCACTCGAGATTATTATTAAGCAAGATATCGCCGTTAAAAAAATCACAAGATCTGGGCAAAATACGATTGAAATTTATTTTAATGCATGCGGCTCCGTCGGTAGTTTCAGAATAAAAAAAAGGTAAATCGTGACACAATTGACTGTGTTTCGATTTCTCAGTTACTGTACTACGAATAACCAAAGAAAACCTAACATTACACCAAATTTTGTGATTTACAATGCCTATAAAAGCGTTTTTATTCTGACGTGAGTTTGCTAAAACCAAACTTATAGTGTGATCTTTTATTTTGAAATTTAATATTTTGGAATGCCGTTTTTCAATCAAGAAATTTGAGTTGCGGATTTACCTCTTTATTATTAATTATTATTTTTAGCATTTCGTCGCCGATGACTATATATGGTAACATGTTTTTCACATTGAACTCATAATTCCCCACGAGAACAAAAAAGCAATCATCGTCGTCATTGTGGAACAATACGTGTATAAGCCGAAGAAAATTTTTGATTTAGGGGGAATAAACACTGGCGTAAAGATGTTTAACATGCCATGCTGACGAAAACTATCGGTGATTGTAACAAAATGCAATCGCGCACGTTATTAGCAGCCTTTTAGTTTTAAGTCTTCCCAAAATGTCAAAAGGGAAAAGATTCGACCCCTAGTTTATTAATATGTTTGTCAAGTGTCAAATTTACAGCTTTAGTAAGAGTATATATAATTTATCTTTGAAATTTTGATTTATTTATGACTTGCATTAACCCCATTAAAAAAAGGTTTAGCCTTTAAATTAAGTTAAGTACTTTTAACTTACTCAGGAATATTTATCGGAAAGCTACAATTTTAACATTTCTTTTGGGGCTCCGCGAATAATGGTCAACCTTTTCAGGGGCTCCGCAACACCAAAAGTTTGAGAACCCCTGTCTACAGTACAATGTTTATCAACATGGGGATCGTGGAGTCAAAATCGCAAATTAATAGGAGGTAATAAGATTTTTCGAAGAGATGTTTTCTATAGATGTTTCTTTTTAAACAAGCTCCACCGAACTCCAAACTTCGAGAATCAAGGGAAGTGAGCTCTCACTTGGTTGGTACAGATACTATGTTCAGGTTGTGCGCCATCTTGGTGCACATAAGACGGGGGAGCTCTGATTTGAGACTGCTTTGAAACCAATTATCGACCCTATTTCGTCTTATCCTTACAGATCTTTCCAACAAATACGCTTTTTGTTATAAAGGGGTGGCTGATTGAGATAAGCTCCCATTTTTACTTTCATTATTATATTTATGTCTCGGTAAATTCCGTACCTTTTCTATCCTCCTGCGACCACTCTCGCTTGAAAGTTTAGTTCGAGGAGTAAAAGCTGATTTTGTACCGGATATAGTTGCACCGCCGGATTCAGTAGTGGTAGGAGTTCCGGATACGAAAGTGGAGCTTGTTGAAATAGGTTTTGAACTACCATGAGAATCTTGTACATTTACTGCGGGCAATGTCGCCCGGCTTTTTGAAATATGTTTTTCATTGGCGCCTTCGAGGCCCGAATTCAAGTCGTTTTCAGTGAAAAATATTTCGGTTGAATTTTTTCCGTATTTTTTGTTTTTCGCGTATTTTCTTGAACTTGACATTCGTTCATTAAGCCGAAATGAACTCATATTTGACCCCGGGGTTGTTCTTCCGCTTCCGGCATAGGTCATAGTCAAGGGCAAAGGTGAATTCACTTCCCTTGATTCTCGAAGTTTGGAGTTCGGTGGTGCATGACGTCGATCTCCCATTGTTATGACGTCATTATGACGTAATATTTCGTGATTCGAAATCTTTCTCATATGGGGAATAAAAGTGCTCGCGTATTCGTTTTTTTGCACCATTGATTGGTCATTATCAAATATAGAATCACGTGATGCACCGAAGCTTTGTGACGTCATAGACCTTGATGAGTAGTTCAATTGTTTGCTAACAATGTCTTGTCGTAGAGAAGTGGGAGTGTAGACAATGGGAAGACGCGACCTTGGCGATTTTTCAATGTCAGGTATTACAACTCGATTCTCGCCTCCCTCTGGAAGGAAAAATATTTTTGAATTTGTCCAATTTGTTGGCGGTTCTGTTGATCGTCTCTTTGACGACGGAGAAGATAATATTACGTCACCATCTAATGACGTCATAGTATGTGCAGATTCGCTCATTTGCTCTTGTGAGTCTTGGTGCAAAAAAATAAAGGGGTTTTAAACTTGGAGCATGAAAAGTTAGAATGTTCTTGTATATATACGGTAATAGAAAGGGCTGGACAACATTCTTCTAACAGAAAAATGGTATTCTTAAAATTTCAAGCCGGAGAATTCTGAAACGAGTCTATGAAATATCGCATCATAAAAGTGATCAATTAAAAAAACGGTTTTTAATGTCCTGGGGTTTGTGTTGAAAGTTACAACTCAGTCAAATTTTTCACAACCCGGAGTCGCAGTCGCACCCCCCCCCTCCCCCCTTCCACACTCTAACTTTAAAGCCTGGTTCAAATATACTTGAATGTCCAGAAAATGTCGTATGTACCAGTGCAGTTACATAGTACTTATTATAAGTCACATATACTATGACAGCAGATTGCAAACTCTTTAGAACGTCCTAAATTTGGAAACCTATTTGCAATTGATGAAGAATATTGAATAGTACTCCTGTAGTATGTGAACCAAGATGGCGGACACCGGAACGTAGTATGTGTACCAGGTTAGGGTCAGGCAATAATTTTATTCTTATTTTCCTTATTTTAGTTATATTACGAGTTTAGGGACTAGCCAAGTGACTCTCGTAGTATTTGTACCTGAAATTATGGCCTAACCCTAAGCTGATACACATACTAGGTCCCGGTGTCCGCCATCTTGGTTTACATACTATGAATTACCTTCTACGAAGGAGACTCCTCTTCCATATATCACTGCATTCTCTCGTTCCGTTTTTTCTTCGTTTTTGATAATCTCTCTCCAATTTGCAGCAACATTCGTTGACCTTCGATAATGGTTTTCATCATATATATCGGAATTCGCAAACTTTTCTTTCGATTTTTTGAAGATTTTGAAATTTGCTTTTGAGCAACAATACCATTCCCTGTTTAGTATATATATGAATAACGATAAAGTTAGGAAACTTTTGCCTGGTACCATAGTGGTTAATAAGCTGAATGATTTACTGAAAACTGGATGTTATCTGGCTGGCTTTCACCAAGTGAACCATAAGAGATGGATAACATTGTGCGCTAAAATTGCTTTGGGTAATTTCGACAGTCAAATACGTCTGTATCTGGCCCGCGGGCGTAGGTTGCCGACCCATGATGATGATGACCCCCTGTTGGGATATAAACAATATACGTACGGTATCGGCTCATGGACTTTATCAACACCCTATATAATATATTCTAACGACTTTATAGACAACATAAGATATGATAAAAAAGAATAATAAATTATCATACTATTTATTCAATTACCATACATATCTGCACTAAAAAACTTACCTTAAATGCGTCCTAAAATTGTGGTTCAGTGCTCCGTATAAAAGCGGATCCCAAACGACATTAGAAAAAGAAAGCCACGTAGTAACAAACTCAATCCACGAGTGGGCGGTAGAGGTTTTATTGTATTCACCCCCAGCTATGGCAGAATATAATCCATACGCAAAATACGGAATCCAGGAAAATAAAAATACTGTAAGAACGAGCCCGATCGTCAACGCTGCTCGACTGTCGATGCTGGCGTGTGAATATCCGCCCCCAAGAGAAGCAGAAAGCCGGTTGCGTAAGGAACCTTTACTTCGACTAAGTTTCCCATGAATTGCACTGGTAAGACGTCTTCGAGCTGGCGATCCCTGATAAAAATTAAAAAATCGTCATGAATCCTACTTTTAAAGGTGAACTCCGTTGCGTCGTGTAATATCAAGCCTTCAACTAAAAAACGAGAATATCGGTCGGGGACCGAAGACTTATCGATCGAAACTGCGGTTTCGATTCATGACTCTATAGTGACACCACGTGGCCATCACTGATAAATTATTAACTCGCTAATTATACGACATAATTCATTCCCAATCAATAGGCGTCTGGTCCGATATATGATGAATGCACATGCAAAATTTGAAGCAGATTCAACCTCGCTTTCGTGAGATATCAGGCTAACAGGCAGACAAACAAAAAGACAAATACCTATCAACATACTTACCGATCTTAAGATCGATAAGTAATTACTCATTATCTGCTCGTGTTCAGAGTCTAAATAGGTTAAACTTGTTGTTATTGAACATTAGGGATTGTTATGACTGTTTATGGGCACAAAAGAAGTTCACTTATAAAACTATTTAAATATTTTTAAAACTGCCGTTCCCTCGTTAACTCAAATCTAATCTAACTTTATGCTCTATGCTTCAAGTTAGCTGTTCGCGCTAAAGATATTTGCACGTACTTTTTGGTTGAACGGAACATTAATCTACGACAACAGAAACTGTCAGAATAACGCATGAACTATCATGTATAGACAGTATATAGATTTCTGTTTCTCGTACAATACAACTCATACAAATTTACATTCTCAAAGATCGAAAATATTTGACGTAGATACTTTAACGAATAAATCTCAACAACCAACGGGTATTAATACTGTAAGTTAGAAGTTCTTGTACTTTTCTACTTACCAAGCAAAAACGGTTTTTTCTGTATTATAAACCACAAAGCACCGGTCTTCAACAAGAATTTTTTTTAGGTAAAAATATGTATGATGAGACGAGGTGGAATATTAACAAGGGACGCACGCTATGGGAACCACTCGTGCATGATAGCAAGTAAAACGGATGAAAACATATCTTACTTTTTTATTCTTTACGGCTTGCGTATTGACTTGCATTGCCTCATCGTCAGTCGTTGACCCGTTCGTGTATTCATGGCCACGCCCACTTTTTGTACTACCACCACGCCTACTCGCAGACCGCCCACTGCTCTTCAAGCTACTGCCCAACCCGCCCGCAAACGATGGCCGTTTTCGCTTCTCCGCTTGTGCCCTGGTTACCTGTGAAAATTAAATGCAATTTTATATTCGAATTTGCGAAAGTACAAAAATGATTTTCATTCGAATTTTTGCAATAAGTCAATGAATGCATTTTAACAAACACTTTGAAATACATGGGCCAAGTTAGATGAAATCACGTCTCGCGAATGTTCCATTGGATTGCTCGGGTTACATTTTTCCGATGTCGCTTATACTTTGTCAACTCCAATAACCTTTTACTTAAACAAATAATTGATGGTTATTAATTAAGTGGTTCGCAACAACTCTAAATACTACTCTAAACCGCAATATAGACGTTTTTACCTGATAAATCAGTTTATATGAATAAGTCGTTGTCATTAGCGACATGACGTACACGGAAGTGATGTAAAATACGGAAAAGATCAGTGCACTTCCTCCCAATGACCAACTTACACCGCACATATGACTATTGGGTGAATATCTGCAAATATTTATAAGGAATTGGATTATTTTTTTGTTCATATTAGAGTCATGAAATAAGTTTGACAGTCTCATTAATATTTTCAAGCATAATTAATTTATATAAGATAGCTAAGTAACGTAAGTACTAGATTTCGAAGAAACAAAGATTTTCCAGTCAAATATTTCTTACTTAATTTACACGATGGTCGCTAGAAAAGCAGAAAATTTGTCCAACAGCAATTTATTCTTACAAATGATGATTTAAAAACAAGCTTGGAACGATATCCCACAAGTTAATCTTCAAAACGCTACACAAACTTGGACTTCTAGGTTAAGACACTGCTCTGAAGTGCACGGACGACATTTTGAGCTCCTGTGAGTGTAATATAGCATACGCCTCTCCATTAACAATCCGAGCACTTAAATCAGTCATACCTATATAATCCAATTCCAAGAAGAGGAGGTACCGCAGAAAACAGTCCGCTCCACCATGTAAGCACAATCAGAACTCGAGCCGAGCTTTTACGAATCCGAGCACTGAAAGGACGAGTGACGATGTGGTAACGGTCTAACGCGATTCCGGCTACTGAAAGAATGGAGACGGTCCGAAGGCTGGAAAATAAGGAAATAACTGAAATAGTCTGACAAAAAAGATATACAGGGTGTCTATAAAGTCCCTTCACAATTTCAATTTTGTTATAAATTCAGTTCTCAATATATCTTAACCAGGTTTGTTGTTTTTGAACCAGTAATTTTCACTTCATTCAATAATCTGTGAAGGCTAAAACATTATATGGTATCAGTAAATTTTTTTGGGACTTTAAGGACACCCGGTAATCTTTTATAGCTTAGTGTCTTCTAACCAAGAAAAAATGCTCTCCGGGAAGGAATTAACTGTTTTAGGGAAGGCATTCATTTGTTATCATGGGGGTAAAGATCGCATTAGTTTTTTGCGTCTCCCCTCACCCTGAAATGCAATTTCTATATATACAACTTATTGTAATTTGTATATCGTGACTGCTTTTTAGCATGGTGAAAAATAAACTACTGGATAATGCCGAGCGAAACAGATTCTTATACCGTGTTTCCCCGAAAATAGGACAGGGTCGTATTTCAATTTTCTTTTGAAAAATAACACTAGGGCTGATTTTTTGGAATGTCTTTCATTTTCATGGATCAAAAACAAAATTACAAAAGAGAGAAATATGAGATTTTTGATTATACAAAATATGAAAACTGATAATCCATTTACTTAGTTTTTATTTAAAATAACTGCAAAACATAGATCATCAATCATTTAAAACTCGTAGAAGAGATTTTTTGCTATCGACCAGTTAAAAAAAATCGCGTTATTGACTAGGTCCTATTTAGGGTAGGGCTCATATTAAAATCCTTTTTGAAATTTGGGCTAAGACTTATTTTCAGGGTAATTTCTATTTTCGAGGAAACACGGTAAGTTTTAAAACTAATAGCTGTGTCAGTCGTCTTGAGCACCCTTAATAGTTACGTCATCTAATTTGCATATCGATTAAAAAAAGTTTAGAACAACCTCCTACTTCAAACATACCATGTAGTATAGAATCCAAATATTCGACAGAATATATTTCCAAGAATCCAGTCGTCAGCCATGACGGACAGAAGCATGACAGGTAGAGAAATTGCACAGATAAGAGACTGGCTGATGCATAGTGACGTAACCCACATGTTTGTGACGGTATGAAGCGATCGTTTATGACGTATTAACCAGATGACACAACAGTTGAATAACATTCCAACGCAAAGAATGACTAGAAATTAAAATTTTTACTTTTATTATCAAAATAGATACATTTGCTAGGGACCTATCTGCCTCTAAGAGATGTTGAAATTTGAGTGGCCCGACCTGACCGTAACTTTGACCAGAAGTGATTCTCCGTCACGCCTGAATGAGTGACACCCAAAACCACATATATGTCAATAGCTGTTCTCATTTCAGTGGCCCGCACGTAACTTTGCTCAGAGGTGATTCTTCGTTACTTCTAGATGAGTGCACATCATATATATATAGAGAGAGTAGTGGGATTCAGCCGGTTCGTACCGGTTCTATAGAACCGTCTCACAGAATTTTATGAGATCAGCGAACCGGTTAGCCTTACATGACTTTTTGTAACAGAACCGCCTGAAAATTCGACATTTGTATGATGGAACGATATGAATCGCTTTTACTTAATAGTGGGCGCAAGTGAATCGCTACTTGAACCAAGATGGCGCACAACCTGAACCCTAACCTGCTACACATACTATGTTCAGGTTGTGCGCCATCTTGTTGCACATACTTTTGAAGGTCCAAAAAATCCCAACCAATACAGTTATGCCGGTCAATTATTTCATTTTTAATAGAGTAACTGTCGATTCACCTCCATATAGTACGCCCTGAGTGACTATCATCGCTGTTGAAGAAGGTGACGTATTTTCAAACAACTTCTTCTCAGTTTCTGTGATGACGTCACCATTTCCGATCGGGTATGACGTCATGATTGACGTAGCTCCGGTTCCAAATGTCATATTCATCGATGATTCCATATATCGGAGTAGTGAGTCATAGTAGCGCTAACGCAATCTTTTAAAATGCCCAACTTAACAACATATTGCTATATATATATGATTAACTGTGAAGGAATGTAATATGAAATGTATATTTGAAAGATAAATGTTTATTTTTCATTTTTTATGTAGGACTGCTAAATCAAAGTCCCCAACTGCAAGATAACAATATTTCTAGAGTAAATGTTTATCTCATGTTTTCGAGATCGCATTGACTTGAGGCTTGCAACGATTGGAATTTTCTGGCACATATTGCACAATTATAAAAAAAACTGTCCAACTTTACAACTCCAGCCTAGGTAAACAAAGATGCTACTATTAGGAAAACCATCAGTAGAGGTTGCGCGACACTAACTCCCAATCCATCTCCGATGCCTTTGCGGTATAGTGTGAGAAAGTCTGAATTTGGTCAGACGAAATGTTACAGAACTAGATTTGTGTTAGTGTGCATCAGGATCTTTTATAACTGCCTATTAAGAAAACCATTGCGCCTATGAACATTACGTCTTTGGGTTACGTAATGATGCTTGGCAGCGTTGATAAAAAAAAATTCTGAAACGGCTTCACTTCTCGCGTCAATTAATTGCTGGCTCGTAAAGCCCACAGAATTTTATAAAGTACAATAATCTTGGAATTCCGTGGTTGACCGTAACATTGCTCAGTGATCTTTAGAGCAGTATAGGTATTATATATATATATTCGATGGATTCTTCTGTTTGCCTGTTTGGATCTCTTTACTTTCTTATCACTATGCATATTTCCGTTATCTAACTAATTTTCATATTTCCTCATCTGGTGTTACTCTAAAATCCGACTCTTGAATAGTTCATTACGTGCCGGAAATATGTATTACAATGGAACTAAAAACCTAAACAATATTAGTGAAAATATAACTGAATACAAAGCTATATTTTTCTACCCCAGGCAAGACAACAAAATGCTGGGAAACCGCTGAGAAACACTGCCGTCGAGCAAATGTGTGAAACGCTACATAAACATGACAATACGGCGAGAACTGGGCCGGTTACGATTGCTATATAAATTCCCTATAAATATGGATGCATTACATGCCATACAGAAAGGCGATTGTACAAAAATAATAGTGTTTTATTTATTGAATGAAGATCATTACGTCACTGCAATTGGAACTATTGACCGAATCGGAATTCTTATTAACTGCCTTACCACGAATGCATGCGGGCATGTAAAGGAAATATGTTTTACATGTGGCGATGTGGGCCATGTTAAATATATATAGAAAAAAAAACTGAAATTTGATAAATGATGTAAATACGACAATTTGTAAAATAATAAATGATTTAGGTTTAGATTGATTAGAATTGTTACAAGACCTAAACGAAAATGAATGAATGCGACGGATATCTCTGTTAGTCGATAGCTATTTTCTAGCTAGGCGGTGGTCGCTGATATATACTTCTCTTAGTTATAAAATAACTTCACTTGAAACCGCTCAAATCCGGGATTCTCACCAAACATGCCCAAAGGCATCCACAGCTACGACTAACACATTCATGTACCTAACGAAAAGTGTATGAGAGAAGCCCAAAGCTGTAACGCTTCTGACTGAAAAATTCACTGACTTGTCGGAACTCGAAACTGAGAATTCTTACTTCACCAAACTCACATGACCAGGGTGCAATTTTCAATGGAAGAGGCATTTTGAAATTTTCAATTGCCAAGTGACAGCTAGCAAGTTTTACATTTCAAATTACAAATTCAAAATGTAGGGTGTCCAACTTCCACATGGCTATGCCCCTGTCAGAGTGTCCGGTTCGAAATAATCTAAGTAAACCCTATCCAGCATGTGAAATCGTCTAGATTCAGTCGGTCGCGGGACAACTGCTGATCTGCCATATCGTTACTCACTCGTCCTTACAAATTTGTTGATTAATAATGTTAACTGTGATGACGAATACGTGTAAATATATATATCTGGTAATATGTTTTATGTATTTGCCTGTGAAACATCTGCCAATCATGATTTAATTTGACATTAAAGTATCTGTAAAGTTATTTGCCCCCCCTTTAAAGGCTGACAAGGACCGATATCAGAACGTGTTTTCAGACGCCGCACTTCAAAGAAAAGCCGTAGGTCACTCATATGGTGATTTATTATGGTAAAGTTTTGCCGATTCGGCAAAACGAGAGAGACAGACCAGTTAACAGATGTACAGCGTGTTTTTATCACTTTTATTTCACCATTTTTTCTGCGCCTTTATCAACACTAAATTGTTGTTGAACTGGGTATGCTTCTACCAAATCAAGCATGATCTGATTCTTACAGACTTTGCCACATATAATTAAAAACTTAAGATCAATAAATGTGACAATTATTAGCCAGTTAAAGCATAAAATGAGAATTAATATTTTTTGAAATTTCCTAGACCATTGTATAATACGCACCCCCATATTTGTGAGACTAAATTTGACCACGAAAGTGCGAGTTATACGCGGAGAAATACGGTAATTGAACTTCACAAATTTATGAATGCATAAAATCTATTCAATTAAAGAGTCCAGCTGCACACTAACACAAATGTATTTCTGTAACGTTTCGTCCGACTAGAGTCAGACTTCCTCAGACAAGCAGTTTACAACAATGGCAAGAAATAAATTTGGTAAATGAATTTGAAATATCAAATCAAGTATGACGTAACAATGGATAAACATTTGTGTTAGTGTGCAGCTGGACTCTTTAATTGAATAGAATAGTCATGTTTATTCCAGCTACATTATCCTTGCAGTATACGCATGCGGATCCACTAGCATAAAGGCATAGAGAAAAGATAGGAAGTTAGTCTCGCGCAACCCAACTCAAATTTATGAATGCATAATTGTAAAATCATGCAGACGACATGCAATATGACGTCACACACGATTTGTCAATCTTTATTACGTCATAACATGCAAACATCAAATATATCATAGCATGAACTGTCGGTATTGATTGAAATATTAGTCTGATAGGAGAGGTCGTGAACTATAACAGCGGAAAACTACTCGGAAGTGTCTTGTTCGATTTTCTAGTTGTACGCTGAATGATCATATGGACTGTTTAGCTAAATATTGTTGGTGTTAATAGGACGACTTTTTGGTGCGGAAGAAACTTTTTTATCCATCTATGCTTCAAGTCCGAGCATCTGAAACAAATAACTGGCTGTCTAATTCCATACCCAACATGGACTGGTAACCGAGCGAGAGGCCGTGGTTTGCCATATGATTAACTCGTCTTATCGGATTTCCTCCGCCGCGAAAAATATGTAAATTCCAATTTTATTCTGTAAGGATAGTGATTTTATCCAAACTTTATTTTTTGAAAGCTCTCAAGCTTGTTAACTGGCGAGACAATGCCGTAACTTTACCCGGGATTGAATTAGTAGGTAAACTTTGTCCAAAGGATTTGACACAAATCATAGTTCATACTAATATTAAAAGCTTATATTTCCCCAATTCGATATATAATCTCAGGCATTATGCGAACATTATATTTTTACATTATAACTTACGAAGTTTCTTTGAGTCGCGGCCACCATAACAATTGAGGCAAACTCGCATTCATATCATTCCTAGAATAAGTATTGAAAAGTTATTGCTCTTACTATTACGCAACACAACCGATATTCCGCGTATTAATCAAACTTTGTTATGTCTACAACACTACAAACATTGAAATCTCCGATAAGCAATGGTATCTTACGGTTAGTTAACATTTTATTTTTTGAATCCGTCAATAATATGATTGGTTGTGAAAAATCTATTATTCATTTAGTTTGCATATTCAACTTCCGATTGTATATCAGTGTGTATTTCCTATATTTCCCCAAGATTAGTGTATACTGTTTAATAATTGGCCTACCTTAATATTAGTATAACATGGTGAAAATTCTTTCATTATTGTGTCTGTGCTATTCTGTTTATTTATATTTTATACTGAGCCCGACTCTGTTAAGGCGATCTGATCATTGGGATTATATATATTTTACACATGTCCTCTAAACTCTATCACAATGTGCTCTTAGTGTTGAATCATGGAACTCAAATATCTGCTGCTTATTCTCCGTCTTTTTATATTTATATTGTAGCAATCAATGCCGACTTTTTGGTAACAGTGTTAAAAATTGGTCAGGAGCCTCGATGACCTTCAACGGCCAACGATGTGTAAATTGGATTACTTCTATAAAAAATTATCGATATTATTTAATATTGTTTTTTCATTGTTTTTGTGGAAATAAATCTCTCTCTTTCTCTCTTACGCAGCTCGATAACCATCACTGGTTCATCTCGTCTCCATTCACACTGAAACCATTCTTTTTTCTTAATTATGTTTATACAATATGTACTTTCGGCATGTGAAAAAAATAAACCATAGACTGACTACAGACTCACTATAATGCTGGTCCAGTGGCTTTATATACGACAAAATGTGGCCCATGGTAAATTTGAAATTACGCCCTCTTGATCAACTACTGTTCCAATAACTACTGTTGTTAAATTAAGATACTTGTACGTTACTTAAGTAAAAATACAAGTTTCAATTAATCACAGGAAGAAATTTTTTTATTGATACATTTTACGCTCAAAATTTTTCGCTCTTTTTGTGCCTATCCAAAAGGCGCTCATGGATTCCATGTCCTAGATACGCCACTGCGCTGTCCGCTTAGATAAGATCATGAAACAATCTTTGAAAGAGAATTTAAGATCGTAAGAAAATTTTAAAAAAGTTTGCTCAGTTCAGAAGTAAAAGAGATTCCCTTTAACTTTACGACAACCACATTAATGCCAAACTCCCTTGCTAATTAATATCTACCTATCACAATAGGTTCCACTACTCAACCAAATTGGCGCTCCAGAAGTGTGTGTACCAATATGGAGGTAACTAATCAAGCTGTGTAAAGGGACTGAAACCTATATTCACTTGGCTAACACAGACACTCCCAGAAATTGGAATAAAACTAAAATATTCTCCGTTCAACCGGAAAGATCACGGAAATCGAAATAAAATTATGGCCTAACC